CAGGCCTGGTCTACATCAACACTGTGACCTTTGGATCCCCAGGGCTTGCTCTGGTTTGTGCTGGCCTGTTGGGATCCACTGGGTTATCATAACCTTTTACTTTGTAGAGGTCTCCATGGGGACTGAAAGATGTTGGTGGGGAAGACATGTTTTTGCCCAGGCTGATCTGTTTGTCATTCAGGCACTCACCCTGTGCACCTTCCATGCACGGTACACCTTCCCTTTGTCATCACACTGCTTTATCCTAATACCCGATTCCTCTGTGAGGACTCCCTTGGAGCCTTTGTGATCTGCCAAGGTGTTGAAATGGTTCTGGTTCTTTTCCCTTATTATCAGAATCTCATTACTAGGAATTGGGCTTTTGTTTCTGCATCCAAATGACATTTTTCTTTTCTTCTTGAAAAAAAAATGCCAACACAGGAAATTCTCAAGTTCAGGGAACCCATGGCTTCCTTTCTTTAGACAAATGCTGATCCCAGTGGGTCACAGAAAGACCAGGGACCTGGAAAACTATTTCTGCATTTGGGTTTTGATTTCTGCCCTCTTTTCTCTCTACTTCTCTACTAATTCACTGTGAAGTGTTAACAGAGGTTGGGAATCTGTTAAAAGTGACTTCTGTAGGCCCATCCCTAGGTTCTCAGAGCCCCCAGAAGGAGATTCCCCTCCTCCCTGTAAGTTGGTCTGCCTCGTTCAGGACCTTTAGGTCTCTTGCCTGATGTACTATAGCCATCTTGAGTCTCCCTCATTTAAAGTTCACTGCATTTAATGTCCCATTTGAAAGGGAAAGCTGATCACATCTCTGTTTGGTTTAAAAATTTTTAGATGGCTCCCTATTCCCCAAACCAAGCTGTGTTTTTAAGGCTTTTGATAATCCTGTACATAGAGATCTTCCCAAATGGTTTGATGTTCTTTCTCCCAAACTGTCTGTCTCTCTAGGGACCATGTCACTCACTTCCCCCCAAATGCCCGGTGTCCTTTCATTTCAATCCCTGCATTCTCATATGTTATTCCCCAGTGCCTGGGATGCTTCTCCTCTTCTCTGCTTTACTACTGCAAGGTAAAACAGCACTGTTCTTTCCAGAAAAACACTAGTGCAGAATTGTCTAAGCAATGGTGTTGCTACTGAAGAGTCACAAAATAGTTCTCGATCATGGGTTATAACACCAGGGAATCGATTTCCTCTCTGTCTCTTACCAGCTGAGTGACCCAAGTCGGAGGCTGCACACTGGCAGGATAGTCTATAATAATGACTGTCAAACTGAATGTCCATTAAATCACCGATGAATCTTTAAAAAAAAACCGGTGCTCAGGCCTTTCTCTAGACCGATTATATTTGGATCTCTGGAGTTGGGACTCAGACATTGGTATTTATGTAAACTCCCCAGGTAATGCCTGTGTGCAGCCTCGATTGAGAACTACTGGTGTGCCAGTTAAGAGACTGGGCCCCAGAGTCCGTCAGAACTGGTTTCAAATCCTGGTTCCTCCATCTCCTACCTGAGAGATCGTGGGTCACATTTTTATGACATTTATTTTTAGAACAGTGTTGGAAAAAGTTATGAAGATGGTGCAGGAAGTTCTGATGCATACTATACCAGTTTCCACTATTATTACAATCTTATATTTGTTCAGTACATTTCTCACAATTAATGAACCAAGATTGATACATAATTATTAAATAAAGTCCATATTTTATTCAGATGTCCACAGTTTTCACTGGATGTTTTTGTTTTTTCCAGGATAGCATCCAGGATATCACTTTGCATTTATTTGTCGTATCTCCTTAGGTTCTGTGTTAGTGTCCTAGGGCTGCCAAAACTGGGTAGCTTAAAACAACAGACATTTATGATTACACAGTTTGGAGGCTAGAAGTCTGCAGTCAGGGTGTTCCCTTCTGAAACTTTTAGAGGAGGATCCTTCCTCACCTGTTCCTGGCTTCTGCTGGTTTGCTGGTAATCCTTAGCATTTCTTGGCTTGTAGCTATAAACTTCAAACTCTGCCTTTATCAAGACATGGCATTCTCCCTCAGCTGTCTTTGTCTCTGTGTTTTTACTCCTCTTTTTTTTTGTGATTTGTTTGTTTCTTGGAAATGGGGGTCTCACTCTGTTGCCCAGGCTGGAATGCAGTGGTGTGATTTCGGCTCGTTGCAACCTCTGCCTCCTGGGTTCAAATGATTCTCCTGCTTCAATCTCTTGAGTAGCTGGAATTACAGACACCCAGCAGATGCTCTGCTAAATCCCACCATGTCCGGCTAATTTTTGTATTTTTAGTAGAGACTGGGTTTCACCAGGTTGGCCAGGCTGGTCTCGAACTCCTGACCTCAAGTGATCCACCTGCCTTGGCCTCCCTAAGTGCTGGGATTACAGGTGTGAGCCACCACGCCTACTTTTCTTATAAGGGCACCAGTCTATAGGATTAATTAAGGGCCCACTCTACTTTAGTATGACCTTTTCTTAACTAATTACATCTGCAATTACCCTACTCCCAAATAAGTTCACATTCGAAGGCACTGGGGGCGTGGACTTTAACATACCTTTTGGGAGGGCACAATTCAACCCATTTTTGGTTGTGATTGTTTCTTAGAATGCCCTTTTTTTTTATTGCATTTTAGGTTTTGGGGTATATGTGAAGAACATGCAAGATTGTTGCATAGGTACACATGTGGCAGTGTGATTTGCTGCCTTCCTCCCCATCACCTATATCTGGCATTTCTCCCCATGCTATCTCTCCCCAACTCCCCATCCCCCACTGTCCCTCCCCTATTTCCCCCCAACAGACCCCAGTGTGTGATGCTCCCTCCCTGTGTCCATGTGTTCTCATTGTTCAACACCCGCCTATGAGTGAGAACATGTGGTGTTTGATTTTCTGTTCTTGTGTCAGTTTGCTGAGAATGATGGTTTCCAGGTTCATCCATGTCCCTACAAAGGACATGAACTCATCGTTTTTGATGGCTGCATAGTATTCCATGGTGTATATGTGCCACATTTTTCCTGTCCAGTCTATCATCGATGGGCATTTGGGTTGGTTCCAGGTCTTTGTTATTGTAAACAGTGCTGCAATGAACATTCGTGTGCATGTGTCCTTATACTAGAACGATTTATAATCCTTTGGATATATACCCAGTAATGGGATTGCTGGGTCAAATGGAATTTCTATTTCTAGGTCCTTGAGGAATCGTCACACTGTCTTCCACAATGGTTGAACTAATTTACACTCCCACCAACAGTGTAAAAGTGTTCCTATTTTTCCACATCCTCTCCAGCATCTGCTGTCTATGGATTTTTTAATGATTGCCATTCTAACTGGCGTGAGATGGTATCTCAATGTAGTTTTGATTTGAGAATGCCCTTGTTTTTGATTACTCTAAGTTTTGATGAGTGTTGGTCAGGTACTTTGTAGAAAGTCCCTCAGTTGGGATTTGCCTGATGTGTTTCTCATGATTAACCTGGTGTTATGGGATTTGGAGAGGAAGAACACAGAGGTATGAAGCCATTTTCATCATGGCACACAAGGTCACATACTATCTATATGACTTAGCACTTTGTATTAACCTTGATTACCTGGCTGAGGCAGTGTTTATCAGGTTTCTGCGTGGCAGAATTACCTCCCCCCTCACCATTTTTATACTTATTCCTCTGAAAGAAGTCACTGTGCTCTGCCAACACTTAAGGGATGGGGAATTATGCTGCATCTCTGGAGGGCAGAGTATGTACCTAAACTATTTTACATTTTTTCAATAGGAGATCTGTCTATTCTCCCAGTTTTTATTTGTTCAATAATTTATTCATATAAGTATGTTCTCATGAATATTTTATACTTTGGGTTATTATCCAATGCTATGCTGTTTTGTTGCTCAGAATTCCAGCTTTGACCAGCGGAACTCTGTCACTTGGCTCCTGTGTCCCCTTGACATAGCCCAACATTGTGTGGCGCGTTGAACACTTCCTTACTTTCTGGGACTACAAGATGCTCCAGGCTCAGCTTGGATGTTTCTGGCCCCAGTCCTGGAATCGGCCATTTCTTCCAAGAGCCCTTGTTACTTTTATTGGATGATGATATTTTAGAAACCAAGATCTGAGCGCTTAAGAGTGCTCATTGCTGCTGGGGTATTTGTGCTCTAAGTCAGAGCACATTTTACCCTTCACCATGCTTCAATTTGCTCAACTGTAAAAAGGGGATAAGAATAGTCCTTTCATCACATTTTGTTGTGACAAATTAGAGAATGTGTGTAAGAAGCAGATAGTAAATGCTCAAAAATGTTAGTGATTATTATTTCCCATGTAACTTTTTATATTTGAGTAAACTTACAATTTTCTAAGTTCTGTCCTATCTGCTAATTCATCAGATTCAACAACCTCAGGAGAGAGGTTATTTTACTGGTGTATAGATGGGGAAATTAAATAAATAAGGGAGTCAGCCTATGTTGTGCTAGAACCCAAGTCTTTTGATTCTGAGACTTATTCTAGACCAAGATTGGCTACCACCTCTGTCATATGAGTGGTCTACACTCCCCTCCCTGACTCCTTCCCAACTCTTGCTTGAAGGGCCTCTTGGTGGTGATGATTCTTTGATTCCTGATCCCCAATGAACAAGATTAATTCATGGCAGAAATAAAGCATATCCTCCAACCAAGAATAGGCCACTTATAGACATGGTGCCATATTTTCAAAGCAAACTTTGAACATATGATTCAAATGCATTAAATGCCACTGATAATAGTACATTTAATAAATGCGTGGCATTTAATAAATGTAATGTGAATGCAGAAACATTGACAATCTGGGACATTTTGATAATTTACAGGAACAATAGGACAGGTATTTAAACAGAACTGACCCAAAAGCCTAAGACACGCTTTTGTATCTGCAATACAATCTTTCCATCACAGCCTCTCTCCCTTCCTGGTAGCGTAATCCTAATCAAATAGAGCAAAATGTTGACAAATGAAAACAACTCGCTAGAATCATCAGTGCATAAAAAAACATACAAACCAAACAGGGAACTTTGACTCAATGCAGATGTTTATTGGAACGAATGTTTGGTTTTCCATAAGAACAACAGCTTCTGTTGTTCATAAAAACCAGGCGTGAGTATGATTGCTAACAGCAGCACTCATGGTTGAAATTACAGCTTCAGTTACACCAACTGTATTCTAGAGAGGTGGGCTTTGGTTGCACAAAGAGGAGATCTTTTTAAGAGGTGGCACATTAAAAAATTTTTCTTATTTATTTTTAAAAAATTAATATGCACAATTAATTCAAAAGGCAGCAATTTTAAAGTTGGAATGAGCTGCTTTTGGTGGTAGTGAGTTTCTCATCATTAGAGATGCTCAAGAATGAGGTCGTGATGTTAGAAAAGGTGGTCCTCACAGACACTTCAACCCTCTACTTCTATGGCTCTCTGAGATATTTGGGTTTTTTGGACCTTAGCAACAGTGCAGGAGCTGGCACATCTAATCAGTGCTTGTGGATTAAGGAGAAGCCTGGGTTCCGTGACCTACTTAGACATTTTCTCAGAATAAGAATGAAATTGCAATTGGAAGAATAAACAATAAACTGGGTCCAGCCAGAAGTCAGTATTTGTGCACAAATCTTGAGGCCATTTCACATTCTGTTTAGAATTCAAACTTTAAGGAGAAAAGCTCTTTTTGGTGTTGGTTCTGATCCCAGAACACGGGTCTACTGGACACGTGTTTTTGTGGGAGGAGCTGGTATAATAAAAGAAACCTTGAGTGGACATTTACTATTGTTCTCCCTCCAGCTGGAAGGCCTGCCTCTGTCTTATCTGTGGAAACGTCCACTCTTCTCAAGGCTCTGGTCCAACCATCTCTTCTGGAAAGCTTTCTTGATTGATATCTCCTCCCCCAACACCTTCATGCCAGAATGGTCTTTCTTTTACCTCCATGACTCCCCAAAACAGCACTTGGCCGAGTTTATTCTGCTACACAGTAGTCACTTACATATGTTTCATGCCATCCAATAGGAGCTTCTAGAAGGCATGAATGATACACTCCTCATCTAGGTAGTTCCCACAGCAGTCAGCACAGCCTGGGACGTTGGGTTGTGCCCAGGCAGTGCTTGAAATGGGAAGGTATGGTGTCTTGGAATGCCTTGGGGGTGATTCCCAAACTGCATCACAGTTCTTCTTTGGTATTTAAAATGGAGCTCCTGCTAGCTTGACAAGTGTCTGATGCAGCTGGGTCGCATTGCCACCTTCCCTTTACAGAATAAACAGCAGGGCACAGACAGGTAGAATGACTTGTTTATAGAACCAGAGGCAGGCTGTGAATGGCTGTCCCTGAGTATTCAGCCTAGGGCTTAATATATATAAGTTCTCATTGTCAATTATCTTCCTCTTTTTTTTTCAGTAAGAGACCTGGAATTATTCCAGCAGCTGCATACAGGTCAAGAGTTAAAATCCCCGGGGAAGATCAGTTTCTACAAAACGGAAGACAGGAACTTAGAGCTTCTGATCCCTAGGAAGGCTTATATCTTGGAGCTCTGTAGGGCAAAAGGTCTCTAGAAGCTTCCTGAGAGAGGATGGGAGAGGCATTCTGCTTGGAAAACACTTATGGCCTTGCAAGGTTAGGGAGTTCAGGGTGAGGCTCAAGGGTGAGGAGTCGGGAAACAGCTGCTTGGGGTCAGCTGTGAACATAGGAAGGAAGAGTGCAGGGACTGGGGTACAAACTACCAGCGCTCACCTGGTGCAGCCCAGTTTCCCAAGATGGGAAGGAGGCCAGGGCCCACAGCAGATGCTTTGCTAAAGAATAAGGAGGGATCTCTTGATTGCACTTTGCCTGGCCTATGTCCTTGGGAACTCGCTCATAGTGGAAAGGGGTGGATATTGCAGGAGCAGCAAAGTTTTGTCTGCATCAAAGTTCCTTTGAACCTAATGTAATTTTTGCCTTTTGGTTACATTGGCTTTAACTCATCTTATCAGGGGGAAAATGGCTTCATTGTATCTTAGATCCTCAGAGGTTGGAGGGCCCTTTGAGATGAGGGAAAGGGACTTGCATAGGGTCATCCAGGTGGCGAAAGGCAGAGTTAAATCTAGAACCAGGTGTCTGCCTTCCGAAAACACAATTCCCAGGATCCCTCCTGTACCTGCTTCTCCCAGGCGCTCCTGCAGCCTATTATCTAGCGCATGTTCCTAGCCACATAGCTAGGGGGCATACCGGAGGACTCAGAATCTTGTCTGTTTTACTTTTTTAGGGGTGAGGGTGAAGACTGATGCGGGGAAAGTTGCATGGTGGCAAAAAAGCATAGAACATTTAAGGGCAGGTGGAGATGGTCAAGGCTGAGAGGAGAGGCGTGTCCCTGATCAACCCTCAGACCCAGGCAGGGTTTGTAAGAGAGCTTCGTCTGCCTGGTAGACACGCTGACCTTCTGCTAAGTTGCAATTATTGAGAACTTAGTGCATGTTCTGCACTCTTAAGTGCTATATCTCTGTTAATTTTTTCCTCCTCAGACCCTTATGAGGTAGGTAAGGTATACCATTTCCATCTTATGAAGAAACTGAGGTTTGAAGAGGTGAAGCCACCTGCCCAGCACTGCAAATTAGTAAGTGGTAGAGCCTGGATTTGGCCTTGTGTTCTGACCACTTCCCTGCTCTGCCTCTTTAAAGACAGTGAAAGGGAGCAAAGATACCTGCTCTATTGCCCAGGAATGGATAGGCTGAAGGAGGGGGCAGGGAGGAAGGAAAGGAGAAATGGTCGCTTGCATCAGAGGACTGTCTTCTGCTGCTGACTGACCATAGCAGGTGCTGCTGGGGCTGAGGAACCAAATTCAGTTCTTCACTCTGGTGACTCTCTGGATCCAGTCCTTGTTGTGGTGGATGGAGGAGTACACTCCATAGCGGTCCTTCTTCCCGCAGTCGTCACCCCAGGACACAATACCTACCAGGTGCCAATGGCCTCTTTCTCGATTAAGGGTCACCATGGGGCCTCCAGAGTCACCTGCACAGGCATCCTTTCCTCCTAGATGAAAAAGAGACGCAGATGAAGATAAAATGCCCCTTCCACAGCCTAAATCCAAAGGCAGTTTCTTTCTCCCACGTCTGGGTTGTAGTTCAGAGAATTGAGCACTAGAGGGCAGAGCAGACTGTTGGACCAAACCTGGACTCCGGGCAGTTCTAGGTCAGGCTGCATCGAAGCTCACATGATTCTAGAAAGCATTGGTGCAGGCTTCTTTTTCTTTTCTCTTTTCTTTTCCCTCCCTCCCTCCCTTCCTCCCTTCCTCCCTTCCTCCCTCCCTCCCTCCCTCCCTCCCTTCCTTCCTTCCTTCCTTCCTTCCTTCCTTCCTTCCTTCCTTCCTCTCTCTCTCTTTCTTTCTTTCTTTCTCTCTCTTTCTTTCTTTCCTTCTTTCTTTCTTCCTTTATTTCCCTCCCTCCCTCCCTCCTTCCTTTCCCTCCCCCCCTCCCCCCCCCTACCTTCCCCTCCCCTTCCCTCTCCTTCCCTTCCCTTTCCTCCCTTCTTCTCTTCCTTCCTTCCTTTTCTTTCTCTCTCTCTCTCTTTCTTTCTTTCCTTTTTGCCTTCCTTCTTTCCTTTTCTTTTGAGATGGAGTTTTGCTCTGTCACACCCAGGGTAGAGTGCAGTGGTGTGATCTCAGCAAACTGCAACCTCTACCTCCCACATTCAAGCAATTCTCCCACCTCAGCCTCCCTAGTAGCTGGGACTTACAGAGACCTGCCACCGCATCCGGCTAATTTTTGTATTTTTAGTACAGATGGGGTTTTGCTCTGTTGGCCAGGCTGGTCTCAAACTCCCAACCTCAGGTGATCCACCTGCCTTGGGCTCCCAAAGTGCTGGGATTACAGGCGTGAGCCATTGCACCCGGCCTCCTTAAGGGAAACACTGGAATTGGCAAGGGAATGATGGACATTCTGTAGCAATCTTCTCTCTGATGCATATTCTCCTGTGGCATCCCTCCTTCCACAGCCTTCCTCCGGTCCCCTACACCCCCACACAGGCAGCCCAGCAGTCTGGAGACCTCTGTGCTCCCCTGCTGGCTCTGCACCACTCCCTGGCTGGCGGCACCCCTGTTGTATCCCAACCTCTTAACCCACCTTCCTTCTCCCCAGCACAGATCATGTCCATGGTCACTTTCTTCTTCAGTGGGGCATAGGCCTTCTGACAGGTGCCATGGTCAACGGTCGGGATTTCAATCTAGAACACAAGGCTGTTATTGGCCCCCACCCCTGGCTGAGAAGCCTCTGCTGTTACGATGCCCCTGAAGCTGCCTCCTCTCCACTCCATACCTGAAAGGACCTGTGTCTCCCTTAGACTTGGTCTAAGAGACTGCTTCATGCTATAGGTAAAGGAACAATTGAATAGAGAATCAGGAGACCCATGTTCTAGGGCAGTCTCAGCTATGAAGACCTTGGCTGTGTGAACTTGGGCAAGTAACATGCCCTCTCTGGGCTCCAGTTCTCTCATCAGTAAGACTGAGATAATAATACTTGCCTAGGAGACGTATTATTTCGATAGGACAATGTATACCAAAATGACGGTCAGTTTTCTTTTCTCACACCCCTACTGTGGGACCTAAGGACATGTGGCTTAACCATTGTTTTTCAGACTCTGAGATTCTGTTTTCTCATCTGAAAAATGGAAGTTTCAATATTTGATATACTAATCACTGTTCAAAGAGGAAATGCATGAACAAGTGCTTTGTAAACTACACACTCTGGGTAAATATTAGTTACTGTGGAGTTATCGCTGCTGGCTTTGCAGCAAGCTCTTTCTTTTTCTTTCTTGATGGAGTCTCGCTCTGTCACCAGGCTGGAGTGTGGTGGCGCAATCTTGGCTCACTGCAACCTCCACCTCCCGGGTTCAAGCGATTCTTCTTCCTCAGCATCCCAAGTAGCTGGTGTTACAGGCATGCACCACCACGCCTGGCTAATTTTTGTATTTTTAGTAGAGATGGGGTTTCACCGTGTTGGCCAGGATGGTCTCGATCTCTTGATCTTGTGATTCACCCCTGTCAGCCACCCAAAGTGCTGGGATTACAGGCATGAGCCACTGCGCCCGACCTCAGCAAGCACTTTCTTATGTTGTCCTCCTTCACTATAGTATGAGCATCTGTCTAGACACTAGATCTGTGTTATATGCATTTCTATCTTACATAGCTTGGAGCTTAGTAAATACTCAGGAAAAATTTTTTTTGGATTGCAGCAAAATTGATGCATAAAAATAAGGCACTGTGACTATTATTGCCCTTGAGCCAGTGTGGGGTAACTGTTGGAGTAGACGTCTGTAATTAAAAAAGGAAACATGTGATTCTCCTTCAGTCAAATCAAGAACTGAATGGGCCATATTCTCTAAACGAACAACTCCTGTGGCCCTTGCTGGGAGGAAACCAGAGGCCATTCAGATCCCTCTTGGGCCATAGCCTTCCCTGGATAAGGGGAGAGGAAGCCACGGCAGGTTGGTCCCGAGGACAGGTCCTCAGCAACGTTTGAGCACCAGAGGAACCCTGATTCATCGTTCAGGTATCATTTCAGCATCACTTCCTTTGGGAATCCCTCATGAATCCCTGAGATGAGATCAGGCCCTCTTTTATATGTTCTGGAGCGTCCTCCACTTCTCTTTCACCACTTTATGACATCCATACCTACTTTCTGTCCACCCCGCTTGACCATAAACCCAAGGGGGCCAGGGACCAGATCTGTCCTTTTACCCCAGCACAGCTAGTGGCTAGTACAGCGTCTGGTACAAGGTAAACACCAAATGGATCCCTGGGAGTTAGTGAATGAAGGGATGAATGGTTGTTGTGACTCCCAAATTTTAAAGTGTATCAAAATACACTTTTGATAAAAATATACTTGGAAGAATTTAGAAACTGGCTGTGTCAGTCATAAGCCCCAGTAATACCACAGCCAGGCAGCTCTTGGAGGACAGCTCATGCTGCCCCATAACTTTGCAGTTGGAAATAGTATCTTATGGTCTAGAGAGGCAAAACGACTTGCTTCAGTCACCCAGCAAGTTAGTAAAAGCCAGGACTTGAAATCATGGCTCCTCAATCTTAGTCCAGTGTTTTTCTTCCTGAAATGACAGGAAGGTGAACTTCTAAATGTAATTGTCAAGTTCATTACTGCAAGGATTGTGGTTCTCAAGAGCCTGGCTCATTATGGCCAATTTGGTGTGCAGCTCTCATGGTGCACAGCTGGATTATCACCCATGGGGGTGTCTAAACCTGCTGCTTTCTGGGAGAATTTTCATAAGCTAAGACTTTAATAAGCTACCACGAGAACTTAACAGTGTTTAGAGGCTAGAGTCCATGACATGTAGAACAAACAAATCAGGCTTTCTGGGGTTCAAAGTCCCATTGAACTTTGGAGGTGGGCCTGGGCTCCTAGCTTTCTGCTCACCAACCCCCACCCAAGCCTCGAAATCTCTAAGGGAACAATGTGAGCAGGAAGGCTCCGTGCAGGGCTGAGGTGTCACTGTCTGTGAGTTATAAAATGAACCTCACCTCCATCAGGGTCTCTGGGAATCTTTGCAAGAACTGCTTCCCCCAGCCACTGACGATGACCATGGCTCCTGGAGGGGAGAAGACACTGTGAGAACTGAGAGGCTATCTGGGGGGTGCTGGGGGGTTGCAGCTTGCAGCTCCGTCGTCCTCTGTCTGTGGAGAAAAGACTGAATTATTCTTCTCAGTGAAAGGTAGCATGGTAGGGAGGAAGACGTGAAAGGCAACTGGGCAAGAGATCGCCTTCAGGAGAGCTATGAGCACTAGTTTCTATATGTGTTACCGGTTTACTTGTTTAGTTTGATATTCTGTCCTGCCCCCAACTAGCCTGAAACCTAGGCTCTGTGAGAGCATAATCTCATTCTTCTTGTTCACTGCTATATCCCCATGCCTATAACAATGCTGGCACATAGTAGGTGTTCAATCAAGAACAGCGAGTAAATGCAAAGCCCAGCCTAGTCCACTATATGCTATGCTGCCTTCAGCAAGCCCTCCTCTTTGCCCCAATTCTGAGCCTCAGTTTTCCGATCCATAAAATGAGGATGCTGGACTTGGTCTTCTCTAAAACCCTTTTCAGACTTGACATTCTAGAAGTCTATGAAGTTGGTAACTCTGTGGGGCAACGTGGAAGTGGGTTGAGCACTGACAGAACAATTAGTTTCTCATCTGAAAAGGAGCCTGGATACTGAAAACAGCATTGAGCTTAAAGTCAGAAAAGCTGTCCTACATCCCCAGATCTGCTTCATACAAGCTGCCTCTTGGGTGAGTTACCTCACCTTGCTGACTCCTAGTTTTCTCGTTTGTGAAATGAGGCTACAATGCAGCCTTGCAAGGCTTGCGTGATGCACACATAAGTTGATGAACATAAAGCACCTGGCACATGGTAGGCACCTGGCACCCAATGAGTCAAAGCCAGCTACACTTGTGCCTTTCCTGTTGGCTCATTTCCCCCATATACTCCTCGGATTACATCCCAGCCACTTTTATTTTGAGCTAAAGGAAGCGAACTGTCATGTGGCGCCACTGAAATTAGAATGAAAAGGAACGCAATTGGCATGGGTGGTCTATGTTTAAGTATGATCTCAAACATGGAAATATCACAGCCACCACATGGGGTATTATCTCTGGTGTAGAGATAAGGGGATTGAGGCGTAATGAGGTTAAATAACGACCTTAAGATCACTTAACTGGGAAATGGCCACAGCGGGGTTTGAGCTGTGCTGAGTATTAAGCCATTGTCCCCCCGTTCCAGACTTACCCTTCTATACTCTGCTTTGTGGCACTGGGGATGCGACGCTGAAGTGGCAGCTCTACTTTGCTAGCTGGTTTTCTGAAAACAGGGTGCACTTTCAGAAAGGCAGGAAGACTTGCTGCGGTTGGTGGAATCAGCCTGGTAGTGGTTTGTCACCCCAGTAGTGGCCATTGTTTCCAGCTGTTTTCCTTAGCACATGAGCCTCTTCTGCAGACGTTCAAGTTCTGGCTCCATAGGGCCCCTTTTCCAAGCTTCTAGTTTCTGCAAACTCCAGGTTCTTACCTTTGCTTCCTCAGCCCTAGGGTTGGTGTTTTTTTCCCCTGCAGGTACCATCCCTGTGATCTCAGCTCTTCCCTTTACTTCTCCAATCCTCCAGTGCCCTCTATTAAATTCAGTTACTATAACTAGTCTAGTTTTTGCTTTTCTATCTGGACCCTTAGGCTGTCTGTTTACTATGTGCTTCCCTACACTTTTGCCACCTTGGACCCAGTTCTTGGCTGCTTGAGGGGAAGCAGCTGGTGAGTCATGCAGACACTGTCAGCTGGCTTAATTGGCACCAGTGCTTCACCATCATGAAGACGGACTCCCTGTGGAGGCACCAGCTGCCCTGCAGAGGTGGAGGTAGGGGAAGGTACCTTCCTGCTGGGGTCCCTCGGGGAGACAGATGGGCATCACGAAGGTGTTCAGCACTGGGCTCTCCAACAGCTCCACCAGAGCCACGTCATTCTCGAATGTGCTGGGGACATACTGGGGATGGAGAGTGATGTGTTTGACCCTGAGATGCTGTTCATTTTCATCTGACTGGAGCCTCCAATGCTTGCCTGGGCAAGAAGAAGGCATGTGAGGCATGGGGGCAATGCAGGATAAGGTCACACCTTGTTCTCTGTCAGCGCCCACCCCAGCCCCGTCCAGCCATGCTTCCAGCCTTAGCCCTTTCACTGCCTTCATCCACCGTTCCCCAACATCCCGCCCTGTTGGTCATTCTCCACATAATCTCGTGGGTTCCCACCTCTCTTTCTTCATGAGCTGATGCTATTGTCTTGTAATGCTTGTTCTTATGCCTGCTGCCACATGTTCAACCCGTATCATCACCTTCAGTGCCTGGGTCAGACATTACCTCCTTCCTGTAGCCTCTTAGACTCTTCAGTTAGAAGTCTTTCCCCTCTGAATTCCCATGGCAATTTATCTGTTCTTCTTCTACAAAACTTACTGCTTCCTACTTTCTATGCTCATATCTCATTCTTTTATTAGACTGTAAGCTCCCTGAGGGCAGAAACTGGGTCTTGGTTATACTGTGTCCTTAGATCCTGGCACAGTATCAGTAAGTAAATATGTGTGGACCTGAATTGAGTCAACTGATGGTCTGATTTTATAAACAAGAAGGGAAGTCTGGATTGTCTATGTATGATCCATTTGAAACCACAAGTCCATGGAAACCTAAAGGGTCTTTGGATATTTTCTAGTCTGGACTCCTCATTTTATCATAGACTGAAGCATAGACTTCAGTGCCTTGCTCATGTTCATATGACTGGAGAATCATATTTTGCACTTGGACTCAGGTTCCTGGACCTCCATCCCAGGTGTCCTGCCCTGGCAAGTGAGGGAGCAAGTGAGTGAGCAGACACACCTTGGAAAGGGGCAGGAGGCCATCCCATTCCCAGAACCACAGCTGGCTTCGGGAGTCAGCTTGCCACGCGCTCACGCCTCACTCACTCACTCACTCACCCAGGATGATTTTGAAGTCAGAAGGGCTGAGCAAGTCTGAGGCATGTAGGGTGGGATCTTCTGGATCAAGTGACTGGTGGAGGCAGTGTGCAGCGGTCACAATCCAGCTGGACCCTGGAGAACAGAACACATGTAACATTGTCCCACACTGCTCGGTCTTGCCTCCCTCCACCTCGAGCTGAGGATCTTCAGGCTACTCCAGGGAACCCCTCATGACCCTGCAAGTGGCCGTACTTCTCACCATTGTATTTTGTGGCCCCTGACTCAAACACTCATATGGTCCTAATCTGGAGATGAGGAATTAAACCTGTGATTTTTACCTGCCTATTCCAACCCAGGCCAGGAATGAACATTGTAAACAGGACTTCAGGAATCCTTTAAGCCTGCGGCATTGGTGACAGCCAGATAGCCCTAAGTGTCTGCACAACAAGCCTGCGGTCACTGGCTGCCTTCTCAAGTCTTGCTTCTCAAAGTGTGGTCCCTGGATGAGCAACATCAGCATCACCTGGAAGCTTCTTAGAAATGAAGACTCTTAGGCTGGCCCTGCCTCAGATCCAGCGAATCAGAATTTTCATTTTAACAAGAGTCCCCACTAATTTGTACGCACATTAAAGTTTAAAATTCACTAATCAGAAGCTAGCTACACTGGCTGCACATTAGAAGTACCTGGAGAATGAAAGAAGAGTAAATCAGGGTCTGGGCCTATATCTAGACCATTTATGTCATGGGAGTGGAGCCCCGGCAGAGACAATGTTTTAAACACTTCCTTAGGTTAATTCTACTGAGGCCAGGGTTGAGAACCACTGCTCTGATCTAGACTTTTCATTTTATAAAGAGGAACCCTGAGGCCTGGAGAAAGCAGGGATGTCCAGAGTCACCCAGCAGTTTGGTTTCAGGATCAGGGTCCGGGCCAGGGCCAGACCCCAGGGCTCTCGATAGTCAGCCTTGTGCATTTCCTGTGTCTCAGCTGGCATCTTCCTCTGGATGGACAGGCATCTGCCCTTGGTTTAATGCAGGGTCAGGCTTCCATTCACCACTTAGGTGGAGCAGATGACCAGCCCATAAGCAGCTGAGCCCAGAGACATACTCAGGATGAGCCAAGCAGAAAGGAAAGCTCTAGGACGGGTGTGGGGGAGGCTGAGTATCAGGTTCAAGTTCAGGGTGGAGGGCAGAAGTGCTTAATCCCAGAGCAGTTTCCAGGCTCCACCGGGCCCTCTCAGGAGCAGTTACGTGCTCCTGGCTCCCGGCCAGAGCTTCACCTAGGCCACTCTTCTCTCTGCTGGGGCATTTTGATCACTGCCCATGTCCAGGACCAGATCTTCCAGGTGGATCAGGTGGGCTGAGGTACCCAGGTTAAGAGAGCCTGCCTTGGTGTGGGGCTCTGGGCTATTTAGATGAACCCATGGGTGAGCACTGTCCAGTTGAGAGACACAGCTTGGCCTGCCAGCTCTGCAGATTCCTCTACCCAGGCATCAGTGTGGGCATGGAAGAGGTGCGTTTCCCTTCCTCTGTCCCTCGGCTGCTTTCCTATTTCTTCTGCCCTGTCTTATCCCTCCCTTGCTCTTTAAAACTGAATGACAGGAGGGGGACAGAAATGATAGATCAGGATTGCTGCGGGGGTGTGAAGGGTGGGGGAATTCCAGCTTGACTGAGGGTAGAGAAGTGAACACTAAACATCTTTCAAGCATAAGTCATAAAGAATAAACATACAATGAATAACAATACATGGTGGCCATTAGCGGACTCAAAAATTCAAGGCTTAAGAAAACAAATTCACTCTTAAAACTGGATGCACACAATCCATCTCTCTTAGTTGCCTTCCAGCAATGTTGGAGCTACCTGGTAAAGCAGAGCCTTCCCTCCCTCTGCCCTCCCTGGCAGCTCTTCCTCCACATCACCCTGCTTCTCTCTGACTTCCCTCCAGCTCCCTCCCTCCCTGGCTTCTACTCCCCTGGGTATCTTATGCCTGCCAGTCTCTCTTCCTCTTGTTGTGTTGCTCCTTTTCGTTTATCTCTTTTCTCTCTTTAATCCTCTGTCTTATTTTCCAGGTCCCTCTCAATGTTCTCTGTCTCTTTCTGTCCTCTCCATTGCTGCTTTCCAATTCTGCTCCTCTGCCTCCCTTCCCCTCCCTCCCTTGGTCCTCTCCCCAACTCTGCTCCCACTGCACTGCCCTCAGCCCTGCCTGGCCCTTTAACACCTTCTCTCGCTCTCTTTCCCTCTCTGGGGGAACTCCTTTGAGTGAGAGCATTCATTTTTGGGCCTGTGAGGATGTGAGGATAAATTCCTTGCAGAGTAGGATTTTTCTATAGCCCTGGTGCTTTTCGCTGCAGTGCTAGCCCAGGCTGGGTGCCTGGCCAAGGGGATCCCTGCCCTGGAGCTGTCCATCCTGGTTGGATCTGGATGGCGGTAAGGCTGAGTGAGAGGTTTGCCCAGCAGCCTGGGAGCTGCCCATGCAGGGGTGGACCAAGGTGGCCAAGAAGGTCAAGCCAAGCCTTCTTCCTCGGTGGTGAGATCCGATGCAGAAGTGACCCAGATAACCCAGGTTGCTATTCAGTTTTCTTTTGATACCAGAACTAGAACACGCCTTAGCTTGCCTGGACCAAACTGTGGCAGACAGAACCATCAGCTGCTCCTTTCTCACTGTTGCTCCTACTCCCTCCCACATTCCATTACAAAAGTGACAGTCCTATTTCCCCGTGTTTTTGAATCTGCCTCCTTATTTCCATCCCTCATGCCCTGTTCTTATTCTGAGGCTATGCCTTCCTTCCCCACCACTGCAATGGACACCTCACTGATCTCCTGGCCTCCAGTTTCACCTTCCATTTGATCAATTCTGCCTCTGGAGAGAACTTTCTGGAACATACTTATCAACCTAGAGCAGTGTTCAAGATAAGTTAGAAATTTCTAAGCATGGCATTTAAGGCCTTTGTAAATCGACCTTCCCTGATCCCCAAGGGTGAGTTTCCTGGCTCTCCCTGACCTCATAGCCCTGGGATGCCCTGCCTTTGACCCCCGTGCACTGTTACTCATGGTTGAGAGAATCTCTGACATTATTCTTCCCAGTGCCAGAGACAGACCAGAATCCAGTCTAGTCAAGAACTCTTTCTACCACAATGTGCTTCTGTGCCCTGACGCTGGTGTGCAGTGATTCTCAATGAAGGAAACTTGGCAAGTCTCCAAGGAGGGGGTTTGGTTCCTTAGCTCTACCCCTTCCACCTTCTCCTTACCTAGAAGGGAACCCCCACAGAAGGGCTGCCCATTCGGGTGTGATAGCATGGCAATCCAAGGAGTGGTGCCCTTCTGGGCTGGGCGTCCATTGAAGATCCTGGCGAGCAGCTTCCTGGAGACCTTGGGGAGCCCACACACTGCATCCAAGGGAGGGAGGGACAGGTCAGACTCTAGGCTCCTTCTTTCCCACTGCGAGAGCTCCCAGCTCATCATCCTGTTAGGAACATCTATTTTGCTCCACCAGCAAAATTGACCTTCCTGATCATAGCATCCCAATCTTTCTTTGGAATCTGCACTTTCCCCATTCTTAGTCTATGCAGCTAGAGTTGGATTGACCTCATCTCTGATTTCAGGGATAGGCATGTGACTGATCAAAGCCATGCACTTCCTGGTCACAGCACTTGCTCAGAGATTGGTATGTGACCTTGGCTGGGCCAACGAAAGCCTGACTTGAGAATTTTTCTAACCATATTAGAGAAGAGACAGTCAGTCCCTGCTGGAGCTGTCAAGTTATTAACCATAAGCCCAAATCTGCCAGCAATCATTAAGAGTCTGCTGAGGATGTTGGAGATAAGTGGAGCTGAAAGGTGAAGGGTGAAGAGAGAGTGAGGGCTTCTCAGTGATGTGTGCCTATAAATGACCTCTCTTTTTTCCCCTTAAGTTGCTTATGTTGGGTTTATGGCATTTACAAATGAAACAGTCCCAACTAATAACTAATCATTCACTATGCTCTAACCACAGGAATCTTGTCTCCTCAGAGAAGCCCTTCCTCACGGCTTTGTGGGTTGAAGATCCCCACCACAGGGTCTGCCTGTTCCATCCCATTTTCCGCTGGCTTGGATTCACAGAAATGCTCCCACACTTTACAAGTGAATAGCCCTGGGAGACCATCTAGTCTATTGCTCTCATCATTCAGCTAAAGAAACCGAGGCCTGGAGAAGGAAATTGACTTGCCAAAAGGTATTTCATGAGTTAGTGGCAAGACTATAATTCTAGGACTCCTGACTCCCAACTCTGGGCTTTTCTTACTCTGGCCAGCCCCAAAAGTCTTAACTATGTGGCTTCCCAAAACACTCCTAACCCAAGCTTCTGGATCCAGGCAGTCATCTGCTACCTTTTTAGCTGTCACCAGGCTGAAGAAAATCACGGATAAGTGCTCTGCAACCTTGATGCATCTCCCAGCATCATTCTACATGCCCACAGCCAGCTTTCCCAAGCTAATGCCCTGCCCCCATTCCAACAGATGCTCAGAGCCCACTGAGTGGGAACTCCTTGAGTGGGAACCCCCCGAGTGGGAAACATCCTCTTCACCATCTCTTCCTCCTGTAAACTTTGTTGTCTTTAAGACAAATGTTTCACTCTTAACTTTTGAACTCTGGGAGACCTGGCTTTGGCGATTCTCATTCCTCTCCTATATTTTTAATCTCTTGTTGTTCTATGCCTTCAAAACAGAGTCAAGACTTTTCGTCCCAAAAATCAGCCTCCACTTCCCTGTCTGTCATTCATTTTACAGTCTCTCCTTCTCCTCCCTTCTATAGTAAAGCTTCTGAAGAGAGGAGTTGACACTCCTTCCCCACATTCTTCCCCCTCCTTTGGAGCTGGATTCAGAAGAAGAAAGTGACATGTACTGCACAAACTTGGAAATAGGCAACCATTTGAATATTTAACAGCCTACAAATAGTAGATGGAAATAAAATGGCTTTGAGACCATAAATGGAACTTCAACAGTGATATCTACATACCGAGTAGGATACTATTTTTCGAATCTTATCAGATACATTTTTCATCCATAGGAATTCTCTGTGCACTGTGGCTCCCAAGCCATTGAAGCCGAAGCAGTCATTGTTTTAAGCAAAGGCTGGATATGGCTTTGACTTGTAAGAGCAAAGCAGAAACCAAAGTCTGGAAAGATAGACTTTCATTTTGAAGAGTCAGTCTTTATAGTAAGAATAAAAAATTTGTAGGTTTCAAGGAGTCAAAACATGGAGAACTGAACATATAATTTTTACCATAAGGCTTAGGGAAGATGCAAAGGCAGTTTTCTACCTCTGAGAAAAGAGCTAAAAGCCCATCCTGGGAGACTGGAAAGGCTGGAGAGAGGAAGGAGGGAGTACAGAGAGAGGACATAGGGACGACAAAGGAAGAGAGAAGTCGTAAAGACTTTAAACTTAGAGGCCTGCTGCTTGTACACTCCCTCAGAGATGGTGATGGAGACTTGGCTCCTGTCCTGGGGAACTTCCATCCTGGAGCCCTTCTTAGCAGCTCTGGATGCTGTTGACCACTTCATCCCTCTTTACAACTCCTTCTCTTGGCTTCTGAAGCACTTTTCTTCCTGTGTTTCTGATCCCCTCCTTTTTTTTTTTTTTTTTTTTTTTTTTTTTTGGTTTATTTCTTTCTTGGGGCCTGTCTTTTCTTCATGCCTTCCATGATGCTGGTGTGCACTCATTTGGCCCTAGGGGTTGGTCTCCTTTTCTTATCTGTAAATTTCCCATAGATTATGCCCTCTACCTCTATGCCATCATACTACCCATGTGCTGATGAACTCCAAATCCGTGTCTTTAAATCTGCCCTGTCCTCTGAAACTCACCATTCTTTACTGCTAACTTACATTTCCAGCTGGATTGCTCATAAACTCTTCCGACTCAGCGAAACCAAGCCCATGTATCCACCCTTCACCAACCTTCTCCCCTTTGTCATTCCAGATGTCTGCTAAGGTCTGAACCAATCACACCCTTGTTGCCTCCCTTTTCTTCAACGCTGTGTTCAGTCAGTCACTAAGCTGCTGGTAAATCCCTAGGAGAAGGAGACTGATGTGTCTCTCCCACTCTGTATCACAAAGTGCTCTCTATGTAACCTCATGATGCCTCAATACCTCAGTATGTCACAACATAAAGTCCAAGTATCTAAAGAAAAACAAAAATTAGAAATGTCATGAGACACGATAGTCCTTCAAACAGTAAAGTGCAAAGCATAATTTAGGATAGGCTCTAATTTTCATTCTCAATAGTGTAAGAAGTGTGGCATTTTTCTTATGATACAAACACAAAACAAAGGCAAACCATGAGTTCGTCCCATGGTGAGACTTCACTAACGTGCCACTCATGCTTGAACTTATCAAGAGATGCCTATAGGCCAAGCCCTGCTGAATGTGCCACTCGAATAGGTTTACAGTGCTCCTCCTCCTGTCTGCACCATCTCAGCTCTGTGGCTGCTGGGTCTGCACCATCTCTCATGAGGACAGCTGCAGTAGCTGCGTAGCCGCTTTCCTAGCTCAGCCCTTTCCTGTCCACTGCCACACTATGCTGTCCACCCCCAGACCTGCTGAATTCCAATTTTCCAGTGGGTGAGACCCAGCAATCTGCATTTTTCATCAGCACCCAAGGTGACTCTCATATGCCCCAAGCTTAGAGAATCACTCATGTCAGGACAGTCCGCCTAGCGTCTGTCTTTTCAAACTCTTCCCACTTAATGCCCATTGCTCTCACTTTATCCGTGACCGGCTTTCATGCTCTGACACTTTTTTTCACTCTGCCCCTTCCCTCTCATCTCCCGTGCATCCTTTGAAGCCTCTGCAAACCTATTCTAAGCCTGCCCCCAGCTGTACGAAATCACCCCTTCTTTAAGTTCCCCTAACACTTAAATCTCTGTTCCTTTTACATTTAACTCCTTTGCCTACGTAAGACCTATATGCACATCAGCTTGTCTTGTATGCCAGTTTCAACCCTTTGAAGGCAAGGACTTAAATGGCAGACACTTAAATGAAGGATAAGCAGACTCTGAGAAGGAGACACATCAATAACAAATCCTTTCCTCATTACCTCTTGGATAATATCCAGACACCAAAAGTTGTACTTTTTCTGCAATAAGGGAGAGTTTGGTTTGATGAAGGGGCCAATTTCTTTTCAAAAAAGTCAAAACAAATGAACACACTTCCCCAACAATAACAAAATCTATAAATCAAGGCTACTGGTTATCCACGAGGGTTTATTTCCACTTTAGACGCCTGCTGGGAGCAACAATGCAGAAGCCCTTTGGAGAGTGGTCAAGCATGTGATATAAAAAATACAAAATACAACATCCTTTACATGTGCCATTCATAGAAATAGGAGTGTGCTTTGATGAACCAGTTGGAGAAGTGGATACTTCTCAGTCATTCCCTCTCAGGGGCTTCTCTGGCTGCCTTGCTCTGATGGAGATTTCCAGAAGAGAGCTCCAGGGAAAAGAACAATCAGCCTTGTGAGGGCCAGAGAGGCTGCTGGCAGTCAGGGAAGCTCTGAGTGCTCTGGCTAGAAGGACCCTGTGGGGACCTTATGCCCTCCTATTGATGATGGAGAACCAGAGACTCAGAGAAGGAAAATGATTTGTCAAAGGTTATACAGCCAGTTGTGGCCAGAGCTGGGACTAGAACCCAGGACGCTTGCCTCTTTTCACTGCCTGTCATGGGTGAGTCTCTGCTTCTCTTGACTCTGGAAAATGAAGGAGTGGATCCTTCTGAATGTCCTGTGGGGTGGATTCTTTGTCCAACTCATGCCCCAGGGATGTCAGGCAGCCTGGCAGGATTTGGGTGACTCCTAATGTGCCAACGCCACCCTTTCTTCCATTTTCTTGCCCAAAAGCACAGCAGGACACAGCGTGGGTATTTTCCTTTCCTGGGTAATCAGCTAAGTCTCCACATTTGGGTCTGGGATTCAGCTAACCTTTAGAAATATATTTCAATCCTGAAAGGTTGCTTTGTGCTTGTCTGGAGCAGCAGGTGTGGACACCCGTGGTGTCAGCTGGTATTCCAGGGTACAAATGTGTTCTGAGCTGACAATGGGAATTTAAGGGCTTGGTGAGTCTCCCACTGCTATTCTGCTCGCACCAGTCACCACAAACCTTTCCAACTTTCTCCATGTCCTTTGAAATTCCTTTAATGGGGAGCATAAGCATTAAGGCTTAGACTGCAAGAAGCTTTTAGGTGAGAAACCCCAGGAATGAGAGTGCTCCAAGGGACTACACTCAGAGAGAGGGGCTTCGCTGTGAGCCTTCTCCTAAAACCTGAATGATCTTCTGGAGGAGGGGCTAAGCCAAGGCTAGTCCCAGAGAGCAGAGCAGGAAAATATACAGACTCGGAACTCGGCTCAATGTTAGAAACCAT